CGGAGGTCCGATTCCTAAAGGAATCGGAAACCTCACGGAGCTTATCAACTTGGAGTTATCCCAAAACAATATGGATGGAGAAATCCCATCCGATATTACAAAGCTCAACAAGCTCTGGCAGCTCGAGCTCTACGGCAACAAGCTCACCGGGAGGCTTCCTTCCGGCCTAAGAAACCTCACCAACCTCGAAAACTTTGACGCCTCCCAGAATCGACTCGAAGGCGATTTGTCGGAGCTGAGATTTTTGGAGAACTCAGTTACCCTCCAATTCTACGAGAACAATTTCACCGGAGAAATACCTGCCGAGTTCGGGGAATTCAAGAAGCTTGTCAATCTGTCCTTGTACACGAACAAGCTGACTGGTCCTCTGCCTCAGAAACTTGGCTCTTGGTCCAAGATTGATTTCATTGATGTCTCTGACAACCTCCTGACGGGGAGTATTCCGTCGGATATGTGCAAGATGGGAACGATGAGAGGCTTGTTCTTGCTCCAGAACAACTTTACCGGCGAAATTCCGGCGAATTACGCAAAGTGTTTGACGTTGAAGCGGTTCAGAGTTAACATCAACTCGCTGTCCGGTGTTGTTCCTCCTGGAATTTGGGGGTTGCCGAATGCGGAAATCATCGACCTTACTTCCAATCAATTCCAAGGCCCGATTACTTCTGACATCGGTAACGCGAAGACGCTTGCGCAGTTGTTCGTCAGTTACAATCAGTTATCTGGTGAGCTGCCGGATGAGATTTCCAAAGCAACATCTTTGTTGTCGATTGTTTTGAACAACAATAGGTTTTCGGGGAAAATCCCGGGGACTATTGGTGACTTGAAGAGTCTGGGGACTCTGTATTTGCAGAGCAACATGTTCTCTGCTTCGATACCAAAGTCTTTAGGAAGCTGTGATTTTCTGAGTTACTTAAACATTGCTGAAAACTCACTTTCCGGTGACATCCCATCATCGTTAGGCTCTCTTCCAACCTTGAACTCTCTGAATTTGTCGCGAAATCAACTTTCGGGTGAAATCCCGAAGAGCTTAGGATCTCTAAGGCTAAGCCTTCTTGACCTATCACACAACAGGCTCACCGGCGCCATACCAAAATCTCTGTCGATTGCAGCTTACAACGGTAGCTTTTCTGGTAACTCCGGTCTCTGCAGCACGGACATAACCTCATTCCCGCGGTGTTCTTCTCGATCGGGGATGTCCAAGGATGTCCGGACGCTAATTATTTGCTTCTCGGTAGGTTTGGCAATCCTGCTTGCGTCCCTCACATGCTTCTTGTTCTTAAAGAAGGGAGAAAAGTACGAGGACCGTTCATTAAAGGAGGAATCTTGGGATGTGAAGTCTTTCCATGTGATGAGCTTCACTGAGGGTGAGATTCTTGATTCCATTAAGCAAGAGAATCTTATCGGAAAAGGAGGTTCCGGAAATGTTTATAGAGTTTTACTTGCGAATGGCAAAGAACTCGCCGTAAAACATATATGGAATACCAATCCAAGTGGCAGGAAAAGGTTCAACAGCACGAGCCCAATGCTTGCAAAACGAGGTGGGAAGTCCAAGGAATTCGACGCTGAGGTGCAGACGTTGAGCTCAATTAGGCATGTGAATGTGGTGAAGTTGTACTGCAGCATTACCAGCGAGGATTCGAGCTTGTTGGTGTATGAGTACATGCCGAATGGAAGCTTGTGGGATCGGCTTCATACATGCCAGAAGATGAAGCTTGATTGGGAGACGAGGCATGAGATAGCAGTGGGAGCAGCCAAAGGGTTGGAGTATTTACATCATGGCTTGGAGAGGCTGGTGATACACAGAGATGTCAAGTCTAGTAACATTTTATTGGATGAGTTTTTGAAGCCAAGAATTGCGGATTTCGGGCTTGCCAAGATTGTTCAGGCCACTGCAGGCAAGGACTCTACTCACGTTATTGCCGGAACACATGGCTATATTGCTCCTGGTTAGTCAAATACTCCATTCATGGAAATATTTTAGTACTTTTGAGTTCATTAATTCGTTATTAGTTGTGGCTAATGTGATTTTTAAATATGCAGAATATGGATACACTTACAAAGTGAACGAGAAGAGTGATGTGTACAGCTTCGGAGTGGTACTAATGGAGCTAGTGACGGGGAAAAGGCCGATAGAGCCAGAGTTCGGGGAGAACAAGGACATAGTGAGCTGGGTAAGCAGCATGCTCAAGAGTAGAGAGAGCATATTAAGTATGGTGGACTCATTTATTCCAGAGGTGTACAAGGAAGAGGCTATCAAGGTGTTAAGAATTGCAGTTCTGTGCACGGCTAGGTTGCCGGAGCTAAGACCCTCCATGAGAAGTGTGGTTCAAATGCTAGAAGAAGCTCACGAGACGTTTAAATTGCTCAAAATTGTTATCGGCAAGGATGATGCCGCTGGTAATAAGAAAATGGAACTAGCGAAGGGTATAGATAATTGAAACTAATCAAGACTCCGGCCGCGCTTTGAAAATTAATTGGTCGAAGCAGCCCAATTACGAGAGCTGAGATTGCTTGTAACATATTAGCCAGAGCCTGCAGATTGCATATAGATTATATATATATATATATATATATATGTTTGCAGTTTTGTGGATGTAAAATAGTTGCAGGACTTTTTGTCTGATATATGTATCTCCTACTGGCTACTACTAGTTAGTCCCCTTGTTCCCTTCAGGCTACTGTAATTTTCGAACTCTCGAGCCTAACTGAAAGGAAGGCTACTGTAATTTGTTTTTGTTGGGCAATTGGAACTTGTATAATAAGCAAGGTTTGCATCAGTGTAAGAGTTTGGTGAACGAATTTTACTAGAAACAGTCGTTCACACAATCGGTGGCTCCAATACAAGTGTGACCTCGACTGCGACTGTCCGAATCCGATTTTGGGTCATGAACTGCAGGTTCAAGTAACTGGGTGGTAGCATATTTGAGGTAGATCTTAAGATATTTAATGGTATATTGGTCTTGAGCTAGCAGCCTAATTGCTTGGTTGCTGTAACAAGAATTTGATTTGTTTAGTGTAAAACAGCATGGTGGTTGGAGTAGTAGACTCCAAATTCGCTTCACTTTGCTCTCTGGAACTCGATTTTGATATCATTTTGCCTCCTAAACTTGAAAGTCATCTCTATAAAACTCAAAATTCGGTTCACATTGTTTTAGATATGTTAATTTTAATGTGGGTTTGATTTGGGTGCGCCAGGCTAATCAATTTCTTTTTTATATTTTTATCTCTTTAGTTTTTTGCTTTTTTTTTTGTTTTTAACTCAATATTCTCTGTTGTTGAATATTAATGCATAATAGAGATTTATAATCAAATTTATTGCACATTTGACATAATCTTATAGAGTGTTGGGCCCCGCATATGTTTTAGGAGGCGATTTATATGTTTTAGTAAGAAAAGAGAGCCTACATATCAAAGTGAAGTGAATTTTGAGTTTTAGAAAGTAAAATGGTGACTTTGACTTACAAGAGCAAAGTGAGATCAAAATGAAGTTTGAGAAGGCGTAGTTACACATAGGCCTAATTTTCATTGCACTTCAGTGTTGTTAATATTCTAGTTCTTCATATTTTACCTTTACATTCAATTGCACCACATAAACAAGAACACCAAAAACATACAAATCAACCTACACGGACATTTGACCGCAAGAGTTCAAGAATTTTGGCTAAGAGGATCAATCTTTCGACTAGAAGAAATATTTGAGGCATACATCAATCTCTCTTTCCGTCCATTCCATTCCATGTTAGAGTAAATATAGAATTATAGAGAATAATCCGAATGATGACTTTGAAGTACGACTTGAATCGTTTCCTTAAAGTGTTATTTGCCCACACTTGAATGAGTTTGCTAAAGGGTTATTGGCAAATCACTTATAGGATACAACAAAGTATGAAGTATTTTACTAGCAAAACTGAATTGTATTTCCTTAGAAATAACAAAAAAGAAATTGTATGAATGTGATGGAGAGAAAAGAGAGCAAGGAATGTAGAAACAAATTTATGAAATTGTGTGTGAAACATTATGCCACAATAGGTATTTATAGGCATTAAAACACTCGTTCATCGAGCCCTTTCATTTTAGTTGAAAATATACAATTCTTCTTAATAGTGTTGACCCAAAAGACATATCTTCTATTTAATATTTCCAAAAAATAAATATTGACTAATTACATATTTTAATTTTACTCATACAATTTGAGTAAGCATCATGTCTTTTAATCAAAAGTTTAACTCGTGATAGATAACATTAATCCATCCATGGTCAAATTTTGGCCTATTGTTAAAAGCGAATAATTTATAATGAACATTTATATTTGTGATGAAATATCATAATTACCATCAGATATGCTGGTAGTAGTTACTTCAAATTACCATATTGTCTTTTGTAAATTCACCATGCCTTTGACCCGTGATGGATGTTTTTAATTTTATCTTCGTAATTGAACATTTGGAGGAGCGCGGGATATTAAAAATTTGGAAGGCTGCCCAAATTTTGGCATAGCGCCCAAAATCTCTCCCTCCTTACTTTCATTTCTCTCCTCACAGCTTCTCTGCCTTTCCTCTTCAGAAATTTCCAAATGCCTCCGCCTTTGCATACCCGAGCCCAATTCCACCTTTTCGGAATCAGAAACAAAACCATCTCTAATTGCAAATCCGGTGAGTTCCTCGCGAACTCGTCATCCCTTCCGTCGACTGTGCACCCAAGGCCATGGCTTATTCTGTAAGGTAAAAATCCCAAAGCTTGTTTCAATATGCTCATGTATGTGTTCTGGATATGAAAATCCATACGAGAATTATCTGAAATTCGATCACGGTGGTGGCTCCAGCGGCTCCTATTTAGATGATAGGTATGGGGGATACAACCGAAGCCAATCCGATTTGGGTTCGGATCCATATAGGAAGCAGTTTGATGCAGGTCCCGATGCGGGTATGGCGACAGTGTTTATGCTTACGGAGGTGATAATTCCATTCCTGCAATGGCTAATAATCTCGCCCCAGGTTCGTTAAATCTTCCTTCCATGTTTTGATTGTATACGATGCTTCTGATCAATTACATATGTCCTGATTAAATTTTGCGATTTCAATCCATTAGTATTATATTGGGCGGTTTCACATCTGGGTTCTTCGAGTTACATTTTTTAGTTGAAAGATCATTGACTTGCAGAAAATATTGATGATTTCTGAATTCTCGGGCATTTCTTTGTATTGGGTTTCTGTATTTTTTATCTATCTTTAGCAGCAATCAATCTTTTTCTTTACTTGTTTGATCAAATCTCTGTTACAAAGTTTACCCACTTGTGAATCTCTCTTAAAAATTAACTTCTTTTAAGTGAAAAATTCCTGTTATGGCTATATATGCTTTCTAGTATGTGATTCGGAATCTTATTGTATTCGAAATATTGTTTTTTGCTTCGTATAGATTCACTGTGTGTTACGATTTACACTGCACGTGTGTTTGGTAGTTAATCTGTTATCTGTTTGAAAAATCACAATTACAACAATAAAGGATTAGTTGGATAACAGATGCTTTGTAAAGATGAACAATTTTTGTTTACTAAACATGCATTTTCGAGTTTCTGAATCAGTTAATCTGTAGTTTTAGTTTTAGTACCAAAATGTATAAAAGAAGGTGAATTGATTCTAACATAGTCCTAGTTGGAGCAATTGTGTGTGTTTTTAGCTTACTTAATTGCATAGATGATGATAAAATTTTCGTATTAATTAACGTTAAATGTATGTCCATGGCGGACTATTGCATATGCAACATTGAGGCATAGACATAGCTTGTTGCACTTCTTTGTAATTTGATTAATACTGCTTAAATGATGTGACTGCATCTCTGGACAAAAAATTGGTTTTGCATGAAGATTCTAAAGATGCATCCTCCCATTAAAAAGGAGGGTCACAAGGTGACAAGTCCCTGGTTGTTTGCTTTGGGGAAATGCCAATTGACTTTGTGCCCACCGTTGGTGGAGTTTCACTTGCTGAAGCACCTGTTTTTAAGAAAGCTCCTGGTGGTGCTCCTGCTAATGTCGTTATTGGAGTCGCAAGACTGGGTGGTTCAGCAGGTTTCATAGGCAAGGTACATTAGATTCTGTGAATGCTGGTATTAATTTCTCCCCTTGGCTTTTGCCTTTCTTCCTAGGATTTTTGTTAAGAAGAAGGATTTCTCTAGTAACATTTTTGTTGAAGAAATGAAGTGTGTTCTGATGGGTTTAGGGTTAGCTTCTAGGGTCAGCTACCATAGGTGTATCTCTAGGGTAAGCTTAAGGCCATATTGTTGTAAATCAGCTTTTCCTTAATCTAAGGGAAGTGACTGATTAGTGTAAAGTAGATAAAGCTCTTTTCCTTAATCTAACGAAGGTGACTGATTGGGTGAAGTGGGTTAGATCTTGTTGGCTGTGATAGACAACCTTCTTTTCTTCCTTCTAGTTAGCTGCTTGTTGCAGCTAACTATCCGGTCCTCTTCCTCTTCTCTTCTCTCATATATACCCTATCACTTGTACATTTGAATATATGAATTACATTGAAACTTAAAGCTAGAAAATCAACAATTTTGTTCCACACATGTAAGAATAATGAAACATAGAAAGACGCTTTCAACCTGTTTACTGAAACCCTCCAGCCGTTCAACTCTATATTGACTTTGTTGAGGATGGCATGATGCAAATATGCATCTTTATCATATTGTGTATTTAACCCATTTCACAATCTCCAGACATGTATTCGAACGATGTTCTTTCATATCCCCTACAAGATGTGATGTAAGTTCATTTTACTTTAGCATCAAGTTCGTTAAGGAACTTTTAATTTACGTATTGAGGTAAAAGTAATTTGTATGTTTATTTTTCTTCTCATGCAGAAAACCGACTCATCTACCTTCGCCTTTTGGTCAAAGAGCTCTATGGATATTGAGCCAAGGCGTATTAGATTGTAGTTAAATAGTTACACTGCCAACACCCTTTTGGATACAATGACTGTTGCAACTGTATAGGTTGGAAATTACTGAGATGTATAAACATTGATACTTGTTTTGAGATGTATGTGATGCTTTGGTTCTATGTGAAAATTACTGAAGGTGGGCTGGATTAATCATTTCATGTTTCAGTTATATATGTGTTCATTTTGAGTAAGGTGGTAAACTACAGAGATTGACTTATGTGCCTAAACTTTTAGACTCGAGCTTGTATTTCATATTGATCAAATAGGCATGAGTAGTGTACTTACACGAGGGGTAGTGTTTCGTTGTGAAGTAATGCCAGCTGATTTCTCTGTGCAAAATGCATGAATATCAAATGTATTCCTTCAATCCATAATCTCTAATGAACTCTCTATCATTCATTTTGCGAACTTATTGAAATTTGTTATCAACGCCTGTTTGACCCTCTTTCTTATTTTGTTACTGTGTTATTAGGTCCCTGATGAGGCAGTTACAAAATGCACGGCCTGTGGGTTAGATTTTGGGGCTTTATAGATCTCAGGGAGGCAATATAGATCTCCAAAGAACTAAGAATGGTGTAAAACAGGTTCCCAATTCTAGTTACCAGGTTTCCAAATCATCTCCCCATGTATGAAATTGATTTTGTTTAACTTGTCTTGATGTCTTCAACTGGAGAAATAGAATTAACAAATCCTGAGGCGAAAGTTCATTATATGATGCTTGGTCCTGATTGTTGGAAATTTTGGGTAACTGTTGTCAATGTGGAGAATATATCTTTGTACCGCCCTACAAGTGAATTTCGTGTTCTGGAGGATGCTATATCTAAAACAATTACTTGGTCATCAAAGTACGTCGGAGTTGGAGAGTAATTTTTGTTCGTACTTAGACTAGAAAATGGTACTTTGGCACTACATGGATAGTACTTTATGACTTTTGTTGTTTATGTATTCATTAAGTACTACATGGATAGTACTTTATGACTTCCGTTGTTTATGTATTCATTTGGAAGCTCAAGTATTTTTAAATTATGTTATAATATTATCAAGTATTTTTTAGGTAGTTATTATATTGTAGTAAATATGCAATTTTGTTGGTTATTTTGTACTAATATATATATATATATATTTGTTAAATAGTTTTATTTTTTTTTAATTTTGGAAAATAATTTATAACGGGCATTAGCTATGGTCAATTAGTAATCGACAACGGCCATAGCACGTGGTGTTAGATTTCAATCTACAACGGGTACAATTTGTGGTTATATTGCATTTGACAACAGTTATTGCCCGTGGTAAAAACTGAGACTTTTTATCACATTAAGAATACTAACGGGCATAATATCCGTATAAAATTGCAATTTATCGTGGACTTTCACTGTGATAAATGAACTTTTTTCTTCTAGTGGTACTCGCTTTTCTTCGTCTCCTTTTGATTGAAACGTGATCACCTCAGAGCATGAAGGTTCGCTCACACGCTAGAACAATTACGTATGATGACATGAATGCTAGAAGAAAGTGTTTCACTCGGTTTTCACTCCTCTAACCTTGCACATATACAAATTCCTTGCCATAATATTGTTGGAAAAAGATAGCAGACCTGCTTTAAAACCAGCAGTATATAATGGATGTGAGAAACAGGTCTACAAGTAAATTGAACACATTACACATTACACTTGTCTAGGAAATTAGTCAGTCACAAAGGCTTACGCTTTCGAACAATTATTAAATATTATTATTTTCAAGTAGTATGAGTGACCTTCTTCTGACCTATACTTATTACTACTGCTCAGTTGTGATTATAGGTGATTTTTCATCAGATTGGATCAGAAAAAAGCATTCGAGTGTCGATCCAAAAAACTTTTAGAATCAAACATTAGTTTCAATTTCGGAATTTTGAATTATCGAATTTTTGTTAGAATCATTTTATTTTGAAATTTTTGAAACATAATTCAGATCTTCTTGGAAACAAACATTCCAATGCCAATTCAAAAAAGTTTGGAATCATATAATCTAATTCAGAATTTCAGATTATTGAAAATTTTGGGATAGCTTTTATTTCGGAATTTTAGGAACATAATTCGGATCTTCTACATTTTGGAAGACTTTGAAAATGTTCAAACCCTTATGTATCCACCATTAATTTTGTTTTCTCAATCTAGGCGTTATTTGTAGGTAGTTATGTGTGCGTATGACATAAAATCATTTTTTTTCTACTTCTTATATCTTATAGTTATAACGGCTTTGTGGATCATCCCGTTGAGTGATTATTCGACAAGATAAAATAGTATGTATAGTTACATTCTTCATTTAAAATATATAATAGTATGATTAAATATACAAAATACAAATACAAAATACAAAATAAAGCACATCCAAATATAACAATTAATATGATGAAATCAGAATATCCATATTTTTTTCATAAGTTTGAGAAGTTTCGAATCTGAATTGCAGAATTTTCCATCAGATAGGTGCATTCACTATTCTAAAAATCCCTGCCTAGAGCTGCCTAGACCCCGCCTAGGCACTAGCTGCGGGCTTTAAGCAGCTAGTCATCGTCCCGATTTGTCCCTAGGCGTTTAAAAGTTAAGAAAGTGCCCTAGACCCGCTTAGGCGTCTATCTAGCCCACTTAGGCCACCTAAACCCGCGTAGGTCGCGACCCTGGCTTAGACTGAAAATCGATAACTTTCATTTTGCATTTTAATTTTTTAATAAAATATACGAGACTTTTTGAATACTTGGATGAACACTCATTATATGTTTGTTCCCCATGTTTTCAATATGTTCTAATACTTTATAATGTATATGTCATTTTATTTTGCAATTTATATATCCCAATATAATTATGTGTGTTTTTTTAAGTATAAATAGACACTCATTTATGCAAGGCTTATTTTATCAACACCCCACGTATTGTTGAATGCACCCCACTTATTTTTCCATAATACCCTCACACCCCACACCTCAACATACACCTCACATTTTCTACATATACCCCACACTCTTCATATCTTTTAAAAGAAAAAATTTAGCCCTCCCCCTTCTCCAGCAAGAACCAGCCACAATTATTCTTCTTCTTCTTCCACGCCACGCCAAATGTTGATTAAAGAGTAACATTGCTTTGATTAAACACTTGAGGTCACAACATTTAAAGGAAAGGCCAGTGCTTCAGTTCTTCCATTTCTTTTTGTTTGGACTTCAACCCAGGATAAGCAGGACAATGTTGCGAAACCCAAAAGATGTGTATGCAAAAGAAATGGACAACCTTTCCGAGCTCTCCTTGAAAATATGTGGAAACCATATATCATTAAAACAAGACTTGCAAATGAGGGCCTTTGTATTGCTTCTCTGAGGCGAACAACCAACTAATAAGACTAATTAACGGGTTACTTGATTTGGTATGAAAGATTGATTTGATTAAAGGAATCAGGTTCAGAAAGATGGAAACTGCCCAAGTAGGAATATGAAAATGGGGACAAAAATTGGGATTAATTGATTGAATATCACTTATAAATGTGAAGTGTGAAGTGTATTTGTTTTGGATTATGATTCACTTATGAATAATTTTTTTAGTCAACATCTTTGTAGTTTTATTGATTAGGGTTTTATTCTACGTACAATGGAGAGTGAATGGTTTTGACTTTTGAGAGTTGAAGAAGATAAATAATATTGGGATGTGTTATTTGAGGTGTATTTAGAATTATTTTAATTTTTTATAATCTTATGAGGTCGAAATAGCCATTGCATATTAAGGCATACAAGTCATTTAACATTAAATTTTAATGTGGAGTTTATTCAACATTATGTGGAGTGCTAATAAAAAAAGCCTTTATACAATATATAATAAATTTATTTAAATCCGCTTAGTCCACTTAGGCCCCGCATAACACTTAGGCGCTAGACCTTACTCCTTGGCCAGCCGCCAGACTAGTGCCTAGTGTCTTTTAGAACATTGGGTGCATTTCAATTGCCATTCAAATTTTTCAGAAAATTTTCAGAATAAAAAATGTTTGGACTCGGAACGAAAATTTTGGGTTCGATTAGGAATTTTCAATTCAACTTCCACCTCTAGTTATTTTATTTTATGACAAGCAATGATATTTGGTATTTCATTAATCAATTGAGAGCAATACGTAGGTGCCAATTGGGTACAATCCTCCAGTGACTAAGAAAATGATCTGGAGGTTAATATGCGCAAAGGAGACAATAATAATAAACCCCAAAGCAGCTACCACATGTATGAGAACTTCCCACAACACCCATACAAACCTGTCACAGAAACGATATATAACATATTTGTATAGGTGATTGAAAATAGTCACCGCCAAATAGTGCGGCCACGTAAAGTCATCGCAGGAGCAAGGCCACATAAATTCCTCGTTAGTAGACGAGACCACATAATACAACGCTCAAGGCGAAGACAATATACAGCCATTTTTGCGGCGCGGCCACAACACTCACTAGGCGAGACAATAGAGCTAGACTAAGTTAGCTTAAAACTAAACTTACCTAAAATAAACTAAACTAAGCTAAAATAAACTAATCCAATAAGGGAACCACAAAATGGACACCACCTGATGGAAGGATAAGACCCTTAGGTAAGTACCACAGCGGTGCTATGGCATAAGGCGGGTCCGGCTACCACATCCACAAATCCAATGGAACAATAACAATGAACCGTATACGGCAAAGGTTCTAGATACAACTATCGACAATAAGCCTACACAAAGCCACCGCCAAATTTGCATGCCCAAACCAAAGAAGCACCACTAAAGAGGCATTGCGCTTTAATCCGAGCATGGATTTCGGCAAGTCCACAACACCAAAGCAGGGTGACGAAGCGTGGCTCCAACCCACCAGCAGCCGCAATTCCAAGCCCAGATCACGCGTTATACCCCGAGGCAGGGAAAAGGCATTGAGCAAGGCATAACCCGAATCTAGGGGAGGCGCGAAGCTAAGTCAAAATGGTGGGAGAGAAGACCCATCTACATCCGTAGACCCACCTCTACACCCAGAGCACAGACGCCATAACAAAGAAAATCTTGAGAAGGCAAGATTCGGATCTGAAGGTTGGGGGAAATAAATGGGAAGGGAGAGGAATGTGGAGGGCTGAGAAGATTGGGTTGGGGAAGATGGGGTAAAGAAATAGAGGGGGTCGATGGCAAGGCGAAGGAAATCTGGGATGAGAAAGGGGAATAAGAGGAAAGGGAGGACGAGAAGAATGGAGGAAGGCTAGGAGGAGAAGGAGAAGCTATTATCTAGTTTTGATGGATATTACCAAATAATGTTGCTACTGCAAACCAACAATAATTGCGTTACAACTTAGAACCCTTACAATCTTTTCATTACCCTTAGTGTACTAACAATGGACAGATTTAGTACGACAAAAATGCATACATGTATAATTTGGTAGTTTTCATAGAAATGGATTAAAATGTTTGATACATACATGTGACAAAAATACGAATTTCGTGGATTGACAAAATACAATCTTTGTGTCAAGGTATAGTTCTTTGCTTTAAGGGGTATTTATCGTGTCATTCTTTCTTTATACACTAGCAAACCCGTCGTATTCTATCTTTTTATTTTTGCCTTCGTCCAGTGGAAAGTGAAATTAACCCAGGTCATTTTTTGCGCAGGTGGTCTTTGGATTTGCTCAGATTTGGGTGGTTATGTGGAGTTCCAGTAGCCATTAATGAAGGTCTTATTTGGTATATAAATATACTTATAATCTATATGGAATACAAGTTATATATCACAATGTAATCTCTTAGAGTTTATGTAGCTATCTCGGCCATTTTGTAGTGTTTGATATCAATAATATTTTTAGTTTTGTAATCCATTTGTTTGTTCATCGTGGTATGCACACCCTGATATTCAACTATTATTACAAACTATACAGTTGGATAGTTGAGGCGGATTGGATTTGTTTTTTCATTTCCCTTTCAAAAAAGTTGGCCATTGAGATTTCTTACGAAATCTGGTGCAATATATGTTTGTGCTGGCAGTTAAACTGATTTTGGGCCATTTAAACCCAGACACACTATTCACTTTTTGGGCTAAAATAAAACTTAAGGCGTGTGACATCGGTTCACCG